TCAGTGCTGACACGCAGACCCTACCTTGTTGATTTCTGGGCAGAAGCTTTGAACCTTATCGCTTAGTGTAGCCAGGGGCAGGGTTGGCTAGGGAAATACACTTTTTTTTTCCCCCTCGGGCCACTACCCCAGTTCACAGTAATTGGCAATCCACATATGCTGGAAGAGTGTCAGGGACATGGAGAAGAGACTGTCTACCACACGCAAGCTGTTGATTTGGGTCTTGTCTATCTGCAGGACCCCCACTGTTGTCCTCTGCTCCACGATGATTCAGTCTCCCAAAGGCCAGCACTGTTTCCTTGTATTTCTTGGGGGAGGGTTGGAATGCTGATATGTTTATTCTACCCTCTTCCAAGAATCCATCCTAAGCCTCTTGAATTTTTATGCTTGGCCTTTTAATTTAAGACGCTAATCCACTAGAAATTGTTTTACAGTTTGGCTGCAGCAAAGACATCCCATTTTATTTTGTTGCTATGTGGATAACCCAGGTCCCAGCACCAATTACTGTAGGCCAGTTTTCTGGATCTGCCAGTGACTGGTTTCTCCATTTGGTTCAATGAGCATTTACTGAAAGCTGAATTTGTCCCAGGCACTATGCCAGAGGGACCAAATAGAATCAAATTCAATACCTCCCTCCCTTAGAGGTTTTATGTTGCATCTGTACAATTTCTGGCAAATACCAATGAGCTCTGCGGCTTTTGGAAAGTCTCTACTTCTGAGAGGCCATTTCTTCATTTACACACAGGGTTACCTCTAATCTTGGTATAAAGAATCTATGAGAGAGGGCTATGCTTATACAAATGTCAAGCGGCATCACCAGCTACATTAGGAGATGGACAAGACAATCATAGCACACTGGCTAGACCGGGGCGCTGGTTTAATTTCACCCATCCATTCAGTCTATAAATGACTTACTCGCCATTGAAAACCAATGGATACTTCCCATCCCGAATCTGGGCTGATCACAGTAACTGGCCAACCAATAGACTGTGGCAGAAGCGGTGCTGTGTGGCTTTTGAGCTAAGCTATAAGATGTGATACAACGTCTGCCTGACTCCTTGGGACACCGGTACCTCCATGAGAGAAATCCTCTTACCCTAAAGCTGCCTGCCTGGACGTGAAGAAGTCCAAATAAGCTCACTGAAGAGACTCTGGAAATACTCTGAAACTTCTCACAGTTTAGTCCCTACTCGCTTCGGCTTTTTGTGTCTAAAACCAAATGCAAGTCCCTGCCAGAATAAGCCAGCTGATTCTTGACCCACAGAAACTATGAGAGACCAGTAAGTGAATTTTGTGGCTCTAAGATAGCAATACATCACTACATCATTGAGTATAGGTTTGGCACAAAGAATGCAAAAGTAAAGCAACTTCATATGAGCCCTGGTGACACCTTCGGGTGAGAACTGGAGTGCTAACTGCAAGGTTGGTTGGTTCAACCCACTAGACACGCCTTGGGAGGGAGAAGAGGGCTCTTTGCTCCTGTGAAGATTTCCAGCCTCAGAAATGAACGGGCTCGATGGCAGTGTTCTCCTTCTCATTCTTTTGTTTACAGTAACAAATAACAAGAGAACAAAAATAACATTTTATAGTCACCTTGGGTAACACAGCAAAACCTGCACAAGTGGCACTTGTGTAAGAACCTGTGTCTGGGAAGAACACAGAACCACTTTCCACTAAACAAGTGGTAGAAAGGGGTAAGACTGCCTGTCAGAGGCAGGAGTTGTAAGGCCTGGAAAAACAAGGCAGTCCTGTCCAGTTCTTGCTTTGTATTACGTTAGATTAATATCTATATTGTTGGCATCTTAAGACCTTAATAGTATTCAGAGAACCTTCATTTTAGTAAGGTATCCTGGATAGTGCTCACTTCTGTTAGTCTGATCTTACTTGTCTAACTTTATAAGTCAGGTTGGGTGTGTTAACCCCATGGTTGTCCTATTTCACTTCTAGTATTAGAGAAGAATAAATACCAAATGTGGATTATAATAAGAATAAATACCAATGGGATATCACTGACTACTTATCAAAGTGTCTAACTTTAGCAGAAATGGATACTGATCATTCTAACTTTGTTAAAAGCATTGCCTTTGTGAATAAATCTATTTCTCAAGAAAGATCTTTAAATTCACCTACCAATTTCCAATGCAAAAGCAAACATCAAAGTTATTTTTCTGATGCAGTATTAGCAGACATTGTAGAAAATGTTCATATAATGATCCACATATACGAGGGCAATTATTCCAGGCGAGAGGGGACAATTATGAAAGCAAACGTGAAACTGACTGGTTACAATAAGCGAAACAGCCTAAACAAACAGCCCAAACAATCTGATGAATGTACTGCTACTTCTCAGGTCACCTGTCCACTGTGATCCTAGACAGGTAACAATTGCTCCTGCATTTAGTTCTATCAATCTCAAACAGATATAAAAATTTAAAGTGTAGCAGGAGATAGTCCCAGATAGAATGGGAAAAAAAATGTGGAATAACCCCCAAGTCCCTAAACCAGGCCAGAATTACTGGATTAGAGCACCACAGACTATAGACTACATATTACAGACCACTGCTCTTGAGATTCCCTTTGAACTTGGAGCTGAGGCCACTTCTGGAAGTCACCTCTCAGCCAATAGACTGGCTTAGAAAAGTCAGCGATATCGTCTCTAAGAGCTGTGTACCTTTAAGTTAACATCTATATAAGACTGTGCTAAAACAAAGATAATTACGATAAAACAAAGTATGGAGATTGTTAAATGGAAACCTAATTTGCTGTATAGACCTTCACTGAAAACACAATAAAAAAAGGAGGGGTCAAAAACGTATCGTAAGGAACTCTAAAGTGATAAATCTTCCATACCTATGAGCAACATTTTAGGAATCAGAGAAGGGAAAACAGTAACAAAAACATCAGGCATAATTATTAATGACAGAAAGATTGAAATACCTTTCTGAGATTACAATATCCAAAGGAGGTATTAGAAGTCAGAATGAAAACAGAGCTAATCAGAGAAAATTAGAAATTCTTTTTTTTATTTTTTATTAAAAGATCATTTTATTGGAGGGTTTTACAACTCTTTTTTTTTTTTTTAACATTTTATTAGGGGCTCATACAACTGTTATCCCAATCCATACACACATCAATTGTGTAAAGCGCACTTGCACATCGCTTCTCAAAACATTTTCTCTCCACTTAAACCCCCTACATTAGGTCCTCATTTTTTTCCCTCCCTCCCCGCTCCCCCCTCCCGCATGAGCCCTTGATAGTTTATAAATGGGTATTTTGTCATATCTTGCCCTGTCCGACGTCTCCCTTCATCCACTTTTCGGTTGTCTGTCCCCCAGGGAAGAGGTCACACACAGTTCCTTGTAATCGGTTCCCTCTTTCCTACCCATTCTCCCTTTACCCTCCCTGTGTACCCGTGTACCTCCTCTGGTCTAGCCAGTCTTGCAAGATAGAATTCGAGTCATGGTAGTGGGAGCGGGGAGGAAACCTTTAGGAACTAGAGGAAAGTTGTATTTCTCATCATTGTTACATCGCACCCTGACTGGCTCATCTCCTCTCCGAGACCCCTCTGCAAGGGGATCTCCAGTGGCCTACTAATGGGCTTTGGATCTCCACTCAGCACTCCCCCCATCATTCACTATGGTAAGATTTTTGGTTCTGATGATGCCTTACACCTGATCCCTTCGACACTTCATAATTGCATAGGCTGGTGTGCTTCTTCCATGTGGGCTTTGTTGCTTCTGAGCTTGATGGCTGCTTGATTACCTTCAAGCCTTTAAGACCCCAGACACTATACTTTTTGATAGCCGGGCACCATCAGCGAAAATTAGAAATTCTAGGGAAATGTTTTAAAATACATGTTTATCACAGAGCTAAGAAGGAAATCTGATTATTTCAAGGTAAAAACTTAAAAATGGAGAGAAATAAATAATTCAAATCACACAGAATAATAACTATGGTTAAAGGAGAAAAGGAACCATTTAGCTAAAAAGAGTAATTATGTCACTTTTATTTTACATGTTGCTATTAAAAAGGTGGGGGAGGTGCACAGCATGCTTACAATACTCCCTGGGAGGGGCAAGGAGCAGCTGACAAACAAATGTAGAAGGCACGTGTTATTGGCATTAAACGATAATATAAGGCCAGCACAACTATCAGACACTACACAGACTATAAATTATAGTGTGAAAAATGCTTGTCTAACATGGGAAAACACATCTTGAGCACATATATTCTATAAATGAGTTAAATAACAAAACATTTTTTGTTCATTTTAATCTGATCATAATTTGCTAACAAGGAACAAAGAGGATTTGAGGGTCGACAGAAACAAACATGCAAAATTAACTAAAAATGCTCAGGGTGGTAAAATATTTGTTTACCATCCAATTGCTGAGGTCTTAGGAAAATTAAAATTTTAAAGTGAAGTCATGGCCACAATGCAAATCAGGATGAGCACAGGGGGAATAAAAAGACCAAAGCCACTCAAGGCAGACCCACCTAGAACATTCATTATCCATAATTTCCGTAAGTCCTGAAAAATGTAGGGATGACAGACAGAAATGACTGATGTGAATCAACAGCATGCCATCAATATCCTGGCCCAAAACCCCAGATATTTACAGGAAAGCCACTAAAATTCCACTTGCTTCTAATTAGGTTGACCTAGTCTAACCCTTGCATTATTTCAGAAATTCAAAGATACTTGGATTCTGAATACTTACAGTGAAATCTCAAGTTCATAATGATTAATACGCCCTAGATCTACAGATGTATATTTAGCTACACTTGGTGTTGAATTTAAAATGAATGTAATTAGCAACTCAACATACACCTAAGTGGAATCATCCAATATTATCTAATAATGATAATCTATGCTCATTATTATAATCATTAGAACAACATCGAGAAAGCTTCACATACTTTAAAAGGCTGGTCAAGGTTTTCCCTCTTTTGTGTATAGCTTTACTTTTTCCTCTAAAGGGCTCTGTACCATCATTTACCTGTAGATGAACGATTCTCTGGAATATATCTTCTCTCATGCTCATCTCAATATCGAACCGAGAAAGTCTCTTGTCTGCTTCTGTACTTGCCGCCCGTACTTCTTTGTCGGAGGAGACGTGCTGGGGGAAATCTAGCATGGTTCGCTCCACTGTTGAGAGAGAAAACAATGGCCAATGTAGGGAGACACCCTGTGTGCAGAGGGGAAGAGCTAGCTGCTCACAGGGTTTTCGAAGCTGCGACCTTGTGAAGCAGATGGCGAGGCCTCTCAATCGGCTCTAATTTTACAAAGCACACTTTGTTCTTGTGAATCTCTTACATTTGCATTTGAGCTTTAACTGGGCGAAAACCTATTAGTAAAAGAACTTATATGTCAAACTCATTGCCATCGAGTCAATTCTGACTCGGAGCGATCCTATAGGACAGGGCAGAAGTGCCCCTTTGGGTTTTTGAGGCTATGAATCTTTAACAAAAGCAGAGAAACTCATTTTTTCTCCCAAGGAGCAGCTGGTGGGCTCGAATTGCTGGCCTTGTGGCTACTAATCCAGTACACAGGCCAGTAGGCCACCAGGGTTTTTTGAAAATAATCCCTAAGAAAACATAAAAATGAGCATAATTTCTAGAGATGGTTCCAGCTGTGCTATGACCATGAACACATTTTTACTTTATTGTCTTCACTATTATAAAGGTTGTAAATAGTGAAAATTTAAACATCTGTATAAACAGTAAAGCTATCCTTTATATGCTAAGATCTGTACAGTTAAACAAGCACCTACCTCCATCATAAAACATTCTTCGTGAACCAGCATTACAAATAAAGCTGAAAAGACACCACCCCCACCCCCCCAGTGCGGAGTGGAGATCCAAAGCCCATTAGTAGGCCACTGGAGATCCCCTTACAGAGGGGTCTCGGGGAGGAGATGAGCCAGTCAGGGTGCGATGTAACAATGATGAGAAATACAACTTTCCTCTAGTTCCTAAATGTTTCCTCCCTGCTCCCACTACCGTGACTCGAATTCGATCTTGCAAGTCTGGCTGGACCAGAGGAGGTACACTGGTACAGATAGGAACCGAAAATACAGGGAATCCAGGACGGATGAGCCCTATAGGACCAGTGGTGTGAGTGGCAGAATGGGTAGGAAAGAGGGAACGGATTACATGGAAATGTGTGTGACCTCCTCCCTGGGGGACAGACAGTCGAGGGGTGGATGGGGGGAGACGTCGGACAGGGCAAGATATGACAAAATACCCATTTATAAACTATCGAGGGCTCATGAGGGAGCGGGGAGCGGGGAGGGAGGGGAAAAATGAGGACCTAGTGTCGGGGGTTTAAGTGGAGAGAAAATGTTTTGAGAAGCGATGTGCAAGTGCGCTTTACACAATTGATGTGTGTATGGATTGGGATAACAGTTGTATGAGCCCCTAATAAAATGTTTAAAAAAAAAAAAAAGACAGCCCCCCAAACCATAAAACCCTGCCACAAATAGCTAAATAGTTCAATAATATGCACTTTAAAAAAATTCTAATTAGCTTAGTAGGCTTTTATAATTTGATTAAATACAGGTATCTCTGATTTTCCCAAACCCTCCTTAAGTCACTGTGCTTTTGCAAAGGACTTACTACCACATTGATCCCTGGTTTTGCTAACTGAAAGACCTTGAAGAGAGTTTTACGTTTTTGGAAAAGGGCAAAAAGCAAAGCCAGCATTCAGCACTTGTTTCACTGCTTCCCAAGTTCCTCCCAGAAGAACGCTCGGCATCCCAGCATCATGCTGGCACAGCGCTGAACTGTCTGTGTCAAATAACACTCACAGATGTTCGTATGAGTTTAGGTTTTATGTGTTATTTGGTATGTCGGGATATTTTTTGAGTGTGGGAGGATTAAAAAAAAAATCCACATAAATTAAAGCTAATTGCATCTTCAAGGTGTCCTAGTGGTTCAGTGCCTTATGAGCTGGCCTGTTCAAAACCACCAGCTGCTCTGCGGGAGTGACAGGCAGCTTTCTACTCCTGTCAAGAATTACAGCGTGGGAAAGCCACAGGGACAGTTCTATGCCATCCAGTAGGGTGGCTGTGAGTGGGAACTGACTGGAAGGCAGTGAAAATAGCCTCTTCGCTTTACACTGTTTTGCCTTACCACAGGCTTGATAGGAACACTCTACTTTTGGATAGTGGGGGAGATGTGTAAATAATCTTACACTTCCTGACTAAGAAAAGAATGAAACCAAAAATTAAAATTCTAATGAGTCCAGTATTTATTTAAATGATATGGTTAATTATACAGTTATACTTTCTGTTTCGCTTTTTAATTTAACAACACAAAACATTAAGAAAGAATATTGCTTAAGATCTGAAATGAGCAACATAAAACACACACGCCTAAAATTGGAAACATATTCTTAAACAATAATGCTGAAAAGCACTTCCTTCCTTCCTGAGCCACAAAGGCCTGGAAGCAGACTCTATGCTATTGCTGCCAAACTATAAACAACGCTGATGCCCAGTGGTTGCCACCGGACAAACAGGGCTTTGGCAGCTGCTGTAGAAGGCAAAATGAACATTGGAAACATGCACAGATCGGAAAGGCTTGTCTTTTGAAGAACTCTCTTCCCAAACAGAAAAATGGTGAAAATTAACCCACAGAGGTAAATTTACTGGAAAATGAGAACCAACACCACATACTTTAAAGTATATCTAGAAGATCCATTATTGGAGAGAGGGGAATAGAATTTAAAAAAAAATCATTTTATTGGGGCTCTACAATTCATCCCAATCCATACATACATCAATTGTGTAAAGCACACTTATATATTTGTTGCCTTCATCATTCTCAAAATTTGCTTTCCTCTTGGGTTGGGAATAGAATTTTAAATGATGAGATTTTTAAAGATTTTATCCCCCCCACCCATGAGTTTTTATTTTTATAGTAGGTATATCATCTTGGCTATAGATATGAGTACCCAGGCAATGGCCAACCCCAATCCAGGTAAGATATGCACATGAAGTTACAAACTCTGCTGAATAGGGGACCAATCCTGTTCCTATGACTCTGCCTATCAAGAGCAGTGGTGTCTTATTATTCAGGTGTTTACACTCAAGACTTGTAACAGAGTGAAGCAGTTCGCAAAAGGTAAATGAGTTAGTTAAATGTGCCAACCTGGCCAATAAACACATGTGGGGCTGATTGAAAGGCGGGGGGATAAATGGGTGGTGAAGCCTGCCTTTCTAGTTCTCGGGTCTCTTGCTTTGTGATGGTCGCACCAGGGTGCAGCTGCCTTAGCAGTTCCCTGCTTCAGCTTGCAAGATTGACTTCCTACAAGACATCCCCAAGGAGAAGCCACATGGACCTATCCTGATGCAGCCCTGGGTGCTGGAGCAGCCGTGTGGAGACCCCTGCTAGTGCTGAGATGCTTATTCGTTCACTGACTCAGCTTCCCTCCTGCAGTCGGCATCATTGCCTCTGTTTTGTGAGGTGGAGGACTTTGTGGACTGGTGTTGGGTTAATGGGTTAATCTTGGCCTTGTGGGCTTGGGCAGCATTGGGTTGGGATGTTTTCGTGATGCACGCTTTCTTTACATAAAACTCTCTTATAATGAGTTCCTGAGAATTTGTTTCTCTAAAGTACCTAGACTAATACAGTAGAGAAACTGGAAAAGAAATACAGAGGTCAGAGAGAAAGCAGCCAACACCTTATTCTGATAGAACACAGTGTAGGGAAATCTTGGTGTTCAGGAGTAATGGGGGACCAAGAGATCCCTAGTTTTATGAGGGATATCATGGATTCTGGACAACCTTCCTAATTCCAAAACGGACATACATGACTATGATACCCAGCTCCATAGCCATCTGATGTTTTTATGAGCCCTGGACACAGTCCAGATTGCATCACCATAATTATCCTCCAAAATACATCCAAGAATTACAAGTAAGCTGAGTGAGTCTTCATTTCTTATAACTCAAAGGACCTAATATGTGCATTACAAAAATATTATATATTCATTTTAGTAAATTTGGAAGGAAATAATACAAAATGGAAAGTATGGCCACAGTGCTCCTTAGAGTTATGGATAGCAAGACCTCGTTTTTACATACTTGGACATGTTGTCAGGAGAGACCAGTCCATGGGGAAGGGACATCATGCCTGGTAAAGTACAGGGGCAGTAAAAAAGAGGAAGTCCCGCAAAGAGCTGGACACAGTGGCTCCAACAACAGGCTCAAGCTTGGGAACAGCTGTGAGGATGGTGCGTGACGGGGCTATGTTTCATTCTGTTGTGCATAGGGTTGATACAGGTGGGAACTGACTCAATGGCACTCAACAACAAAAACAAGATCCTACTACTTAAGACAACTATTATTAAAGTGTACATATGCTCTTCTAATTTTCTTTCTGTGTCATTAAATAGTGCCCTGAGACATGATTTGAAAGGCTCCGTTGCATTACTGAGCGAGGGTGTTTCATTTAGCGATTGTTTCTAAGCTTTTAATATGATGGAGTACCTATTAATACACAAACTTACATGCGAGTTTTGCCTGTGTTTCCGGTTTACTTCTCTAAAGTGGTTACACTGGAATTACTGGGCCTGCGCGCTGGCTTCTGAAAGCAGCTTGAACAGTCCATCTTCATGAGTCCCAGATTCCATATTTGCCACAGCATACTTGATAAAAATTTATTTGTAAGCCCATCATCAGTAATCCAGCTTTCTCATGCTGCTTCGCTGGCACACGCAGAGCAGTGAAATGTGAGTTGCGTGATGCCCAAGTCCCAGCTGAGGTCAAATAAGGCAACACTTTGCCTTACGTAGCTTTCATACTGTAAACCAGGGTACTTCTTATGGTCAACTGAGTGCCCTGTTCCTTTTCTATTATTTTTGGTTGTTGATGACTTCACTATTTAACAAGGTCCCGCCGCAGTTTTAAGTGTAAGAAGGCTACGTATTAAATAAGCTTTGTTCAGACATGAGTTGAAGTGCTTTCGGCAATTTATGAATCAACAACATATATCAAGTGAGGTATCTTTAAACAGAAAGCAAATAAAAAACAAGGTATGTATATTGATTGGCTGATGAAAATGTTGTAACCAAAGGCTCCCAGGAAAGTAACTCTGTACTTGAGTGGCTTCAACCAGTCTGTGGACAAACGCCCTTCAAAGACCATGGCATTTGTTCCATGAGCATTTGAAGCCCCTTCGTAGTTCTCCTCAGAGCAATTGTCAGCAGTTGCTAATTAAGTGTTTGCAGTGACTTTAGAAAACATAATTACCGCAAATAATGAGAACTGACTGTATATATATTGCCAAAATGCTCTCCAGCTAGCAGTATGATGAAAGTGTGCATTTTATAGCACTTTTGACAACATCATAAAAAAAATTTAATCTTTGGTAATTTAATTCTAAGCAATTAATTAGCCATTAAGTAAAAACCAATCTCTTGTAAAATTAGAAAACTGCTTGCGAAGCCAGAAAGCATAAAATGGGTTTAATGATTCCCACAAAAGGAAAACTGATACAGTTCTGCATCTTACTCACCTATATATTTCACTTCTATGTCTGCCAGGGCCTGCAGACAGTTCTCGTAAGTGACTTCCTCCATGGGGAGCCTGCCAACAACATCGTACACCTGTTTGGTTTGCTCGATGAGCTCCTCAGTCCTTGTTTGAATTTGCTCTGGGGACAGATCCCACCGTAAGACATTTCTGCCGGCTGCGGTGAAGGAAGACACTGTCTGAAGAGGAGACCGCACGTCTCTCCCTAACGTCATTCTGAGCAAGATCTTGGAACCACCAACTCTAAAAAGAATCGGGAAAGGAACAAAGCATAAAGATTTCTCTTGGTCGAAAGCCAACATACGATTATGTATTATCTAATTAAATTTTAAATGGGAACAGGCACTTAAAACAGACAACACCGAGTAACAATGCTCAGAATGGTTATGACAGAAGAAGCATGGGTAACAGGAAGCACAGGGAGGAAGTGGGATAAGTGATTAAGGAAATGGTGTCGGGGCCACCTTGGACCTCTGCTGGCTACACAAAGGAGGAGAATCCAGTTCAACATCTGCCCAAGGATAATTTCCATGCCTCCACCGTCCAACTTCCTTTACCCTATTCTGACACCAATCATCCCTCCCACAATACTACTCTGCTGGGTTTGATTATCTGCTGTAATGGCCACACAGAAATCACAGACAACGCTCATGCTTAGAGGTGTTTATTTGGGAACTTAACAGGTTACATAAAGCGAGGATCAGAACGCATCAAGGATACAATTATTTTGTTTGAAGCACTTTTCTTAGCCTTGCCAGCAGGTACAACACTCTCTGGTGTTCAATCCTTAAGTCAACCTGTGGCCTCTGTCTGGACTGTTAAGGAAAGTGTTACAAAGCTCCTTGAGCACTTGAGAAATGCCCAAAAGATCACCCAACTGTGCAAACCAGCTTCCTTTCCGAAGGCACTCAGTCTTACTCTTTCCAGCTTACTGCTCTGCCTCGTGGTTTCCGTGTTGGCGCCTTTTCTCTGTTTCATGGTTTGATGCTGTCCATTCTGGTGCCTCTGCTGCATCTGAAATCATGCAGAAGATTTGAAGAGCTGGTGGCTCTTCTTTCTTGATGGTCCCAAGATTCCTCTCTTCCTACTTCTGAGATGGTTCACGTATGACCAGAGGAATGGCAAAACTGACAGATTCCCTTCTTAGAGTCCTCTATACTTTATTGACATGCACCCACTCAGTAACTCCCAACTGGTGGGAGTTACAAAGACAATGAATAGAAGAGCCATACCAAGTCATTTCACTGCAGTGATGGGACAGTGGGAGGGATTCCAATGAAGAAGATGAAACAGAATGTGTATGAATGGTTGAATGTAAAATTGATAGCTCTGTTAAATCTTCACTTAATTCACAATAAAAAATTAAAAAACAACCGAGTAGATTTCTATCAGATAAACAACATATGAAGGGGCTTCACATTCAGTTCCATATTCCCACAAACTATTTGAAGGTGCTTTTAGTCATAAAAATACACATGCTAACATTTCTTGTTTTTCTTGCATAGTACAGCTTTCATGAAATTCTCATTTTCTTAACAGGGAATTGGATTTATGTAATCAAATTAAGTTTATGTAATGAAATATATATAAACAAAGAAATATAAAGAGGGTAATGTTTACTAGTGGCTCCCAGGAGTGGGAGGGAGGGAGGAATTGAAAGGGTCATTTTTTTTTTAATTTAAGATCACTTCATTGGGGTTCTTATAGCTCTTATAACAATCCAGGAGTCACTTCTTAAAGAATACTAAGTTTCTATTAATGATGATGGAAAAACCGGAAGCAGATAATGGTTGAATAGTTTGACAACATTCTGAGCATCACTAATGTCACTGAATTGTACATGTAAGAAATGTTGAAGTGACAAGTGTTTTGTGATATATATATTTTACTACAATAAAAAAGTGGGTGAAGGGAGACATCGGACAGGGCAAGATATGACAAAATACCCATTTATAAACTATCAAGGGCTCATGAGGGAGGGGGGAGCAGGGAGGGAGGGGAAAAGTGAGGACCTAATGTCGGGGTTTAAGTGGAGAGAAAATGTTTTGAGAAAAGATGTACAAATGCGCTTTACACAATTGATGTATGTATGGATTGGGATAACAGTTGTATGAGCCCCTAATAAAATGTTCAAAAAAAAAAAGTTTTTATAAAACTTTAAAGTTCCTATCATCGACAATTGTTCTTTATAAACTAAATCAGTAATTTTTATTAATTGGGATGTTTTCTTGTGTTATACTACTATGTACACAGACTCAAAAATACATAAAATAGAAATTTAACAAGAAAACATTTCGAAAATGTTCTCATATTAGCATAGAACTATTTTTAATATTAAATTTTAAGAATTTCATATAAACCAAGAATGGCAATTTGAAATCAGGATTTGGATAATGAACTCTGGTTTAGAGGTGAGAGCGAAAAGAAAGAAAAGAAAAAATTTAAAGAATAATGATATCAAGATCCACCCTATAAAAATACTCAAATGGACAATGTAGACACTATACCTTTACAAAGTGTTTTAAGAGTTTACAAAATTTTTAATGTCTTATTTAACAGTTAATATTTATTGCATGCTTAGGCATTTTTCGAAATGCTTTCCAAGTATGAACTCACTTGGACCTGACTATAACTTTATATGCCTAATACTTGGCTATTTCATTTCACTGACGAGGAAACAGCAATAATGTAAAGACATTCATTCAATAACTTCTCCAAAGTCACATATGATGGAAAGTAGGATTAGTCACCAGCTAGTATGATAAGCACATAATCAGAGAAGCTGAATTATATAAAGAAAAATAGGAATGGAGGAAGGCTCATTAACCTGTGATGTGCAGAAAACATAACCTTGTTTGTTGAAAGTGAGGAGGGTTTGAAAGAAGTACTTGCCGAAGATCAAGGATTATAGCTTTCAGTGTGGATTACAACTCAGTGTTTTGGAAACAAAAATCCTCGCAATTCGATCAACAGACAGAAAATATTAAAGCTGTCATGGATTGTCGGATCTACAATCAATCCTCATGGAAACATCAGTCAAGAGATCAAAGGTCTATGAACATATATTTATATGTAAAGTATTAAAATAGCAGATGGATTTTGAGCCTCTAGTCAAGTCCTCCCTCAACACAAGAACACTTTGTTCTAATAACCTGGCACTCTGTGATATTTATCTTTCCTACATGATTGCCGAAGACAAAATGGGTGCATAAGCAAATGTGGTGAAGAAAGCTGATGGTGCCCTGCTATCAAAACATCTGGGGTCTCAAAAGCTTAAAGTTAAGCAAGCAGCGATCTAGCAGGTAAGCAACTAAGACCACATGGAAGAAGCATACCAGCCTGTGTGATCAAGAGGTGTCGATAGGATCAGGTAGCAGGTATCAAACGGTCCAAAACAAAAAATTTTGTCGATGCAAATGAGAGGGGTCTAAGTGGAGACCCAAAGCCCACCTGTAGACAATTGCACATCCCCTTATAAAAGGGTCACAGACAGGACAGTTCAGCCAGGGTGCAATATAGCACCAACAAAACTGATCATTCCTCAAGTTCTTTTTTTAAAATTCCACTAGTTCTTGAATACGTCCTTCTCGCAACTACCATGATCTCAGTTTTACCTTACAGATCTTGCTAGATAAGAGCTCTCGACACATGGAATCCAGGACAGAGAAACCCCTCAGGAATAGTAGTGGGAGTAGTGACACCACAAGGACAGGAGGAGAGAGGGTGAGGGTGGGTTGGGGGGTAAGGGGAACCGATCACAATGGTGAATATATAACTCCTCCCATGCGGGGGAAGAATGACAGAAATGTGGGTGAAGGAAGACAGTAGATGCTTTAAGAAATGAAAATAGCAATAATCATACATAATTGATCAAGGTTTCACAAGAGCGGGAGAGTTGGGGAGGAAAGGGTAAAAAGAGGAGCTGATAAAATGAGGGTTCAAGTAGAAAGAAAATGTTTTGAAAATGATGGTAACATATGTACATGTGGGCTTGGTACAATTAACTTACGGATTGTTAAAAGATCTGTAAGAACCCCAATAAAATGATTAATAAAGAGACAGATATTAAAGGATGAATTGCATTTGGATAAATCTTTAAATTGTTGAAAAGCAAGGTTACTTGAGGGCTAAGGTGTGCCTGACCCAAGCCATGATATTTTCAATCAACTTATATGCATGTGAAAGTTGGTCACTGAATAAGGAAGATCAGAAATACAAGAGCTAAGGAGAAGATAACAAAAACTAACCGCAAACTCACAGACTTCACCCAGCGACTGGAGGAGGCTGAGAACCACACCAGTGACTTAGAGGACTTGCAAGCAGAAATTAATTAATTTGACAAAAAGTCTAACAAGTCCATCAGGGAACCTGAAGAAAACCTCAGAGCTACGTCTGATGCTATGAGAAGGTACAGCATCAGAATATTTGGATTACCAGAGGAATGCACATCAAGGAAATCAACGTCCAAAATAGTGATGGAATTCTTAGAGGAAAACTTCCCTAGCTTAATGAATGAAAATCAGGCAAACATCCAGGAGGCCAAAAGAATACCAGCTAGACTGAATCCCAAGAAGTTACCAAGACATACAGTTGTTAAACTATCAACTTTGAGGAAAAGGAGAAAATTATGAGAGCAGTTAGGGAAAAACAGGCAGTCACATATAAAGGCAAGCAGATAAGAATATGCTCAGACCTATCAGCGGACACTATGAAGAAGAGGAGAGAATGGGACAACATATTCCAAAAATTGCATGAAAATAACGCAAACCCAAGAATACTTTATACAGCCAAATTATCTATCAAAGTTGATGGAGAAGTGAGAATCTTCTCGGACAAGGAAAATCTCAAAGAATATGCTAAAAAGAACCCCGCACTACAAAAGATCCTCGCCGACCCAATATGGGCAGAAGAACAACACTCCCCAAGCACATACAAGAGACCGCCACACAGAACAACTCCACCCAGACACCATCAGGCAAAAACAGCCCCCAAGATAACATTGGCTCAATGATAGAAAAAAGGCAAGAATGAACCACAAACACACAAATGCACAACCCACAGGAAAGAAATGGAGGTAGGAAAACACCCGACACAAGAGGGATAAAATGACATCACAGAGTCCACAGATAGATGTAATAACCCTGAATATCAATGGAATGAACTCAGGCCTTTAGAGACAGAGACTAACAGATTGGCTTAGAAAATACAACCCCCTCATCTGCTGCCTACAGGAGACAAA